TATTGAGGTCCGACCTTTCGGAACCTCAGGGACTATGCTACCCATTTGTTCGATCACTCTGAACTTAGGGGTAGCTTCAGAGTCCGCGACAGTAGGGCATCCCGCCCCTACTGCGCTCCGCATTTCCCGACCCATCTTGGGCAGGTGCTGAACCCGTGCGTCGTGCACGCTGGTTTTTCGCACCACCCTTTGGGTTGGAGACTTTTCTCTGGCTGTCTTAGCACCAGCAGAAAGTTTGGTATAGCAGCGATCCATCATATGGCCTGTCTTGCCGCACTTGTAGCAGATCACATCTGCATTGCCTAACTCCATAGGAGCGGCATCAGACTTCTCGGACGACGGCCTGTAATAGACTGTCGCCGAGGCGCTGTTGTAGGATTGCTCCTCAACTAAGGCAATGTCAATTGCCTCTTCCATCGTCGCTGGCACCTTTCTAAAAAGGGCCTGACGCGATGGGCCGTGCCTAAGTCCATTCATGAACGTGGCCACCTTGATACGTTCTGGTATCGGTTTCCCATCAATAGACGCCGACAGCGAACGCATCTCCTGCACAAATTCTTGCAGAGAGCGTTTCGCCTGTCGTGCTCCAAAGAAGCGCGCCATAAGCAACAGGCGGCTGATACATGGCGCGAATCTTTTTTTTGAAAAATCGCCCATGATGGAAATTCATCAGCTTTTGTCATCAGCGAAGAGTATGCCCACTCTGACGCTTTGCCACGCAAGTTGGACATGGCATACGACACTATTCTGGTGTCGTCTTCGATGAGCTGCGCTCAACTGCTAATAGCCAGTGAACAATCGTGTGAGGGGTAGTTCCATCGAACTTCGGAGGTTCCATCCGAATGGGCCTCGGCTGAGTAGGCCGGGCCGAGAGCGTCTTAACAGTTCTGTTGAGCACCTCATTACGTGCCTGCTCAAGCCTAAGCTCATTCTGAGTCTTATTGATGGACTCAGCGGTGGCTTGGCTGTTTACCTCGGACGCATTTCTACGCTGTCCGAGCAAAAACTTCTCAAATTGCTCCAACTGAGCAACATGTTGCTCAAGCTGACCAGGGCTTGTTCACCAAGTCCCTGATCCATATGCTCTGCCAACTCCCTATGATGTTGGGGGAGGTGAGGGAAGTCATAGTAAGGACCATGTCAACCACACGCACGCTCAGAGAGACGGGTCGTGGGAAGGACTACTAGTGCTACCAAGTGTAGACGGGCACTTCTACGAAGTTGCCTCGTGCTACTAGCACACACCTTATGCACAAGAGAGGAAGCGGATAGACCGTCTTACCTTCGCGTGCGAGGGTGATTATGCGGTTGGCCGACTGCTTCAGCAGTCGTACCACCAGTTATAGGCAAGATGCGTGTTGCGAGAAGGAAGCGGTAGGTTAACAATAAGATTCTGTATTGATACTTACTAGTTATCTCTTCTGTCTGCCTCCTAGCCACTCGTTCTCCTAAATGTCTGTGCTCCAACCGCCTCAACGACAGATGGCTGCTGGCCAACTTGTCTGCTACCATCTTGCACTGACTATCTCTGACCGGATTGACGGCTGGCGCTAATCGAACTCATAATCTTCAACATCAACTTCCAACACCAGTTGCCTCTCGCTTAAGCAAGAGTGCAACGAAATTTTAAACAAGAAGTCACCGACGTCACGTAGAAAATTCTTCAGCTTCTCGTGCGTGGTGCTTCGGTGTTTAGCAAATTCAAGACTGAGCTATATTTAATTAATTATAATTAAATATAAACTTAGCTACTGATTGGCTATATATGTATATCGATCGGATACGCGACTCTTTAGAAGCGTATCCTGTCGCATGAACTTAAATCTAAATTGAAGCTTGCTAATGACGTTCTTTTGATACGTCGCGATGCCTAGCTTCAACTAGCGCTATCCCTTCCCATGTGAATCCATAAATGGATATCACATACACGAGGGTGGATCACGTTTGTGTTTCGCACCCAAGTGACAAGTCAAAAGTAATCATGGATACTTTTAGATCAAACATTAAGTATATTAATTAATGTTTACGTGTAACTAGATGCCCTGTTACAGGTAATATGTTAATATTGTTCTAGCGTAATAATTGTTTTTCTTATAATCGTCTAGCTGCTATATATACATGATATAGGAAACACTTTAAAGATCTGAATGATGGAATGGCGGTTGTTGTTGATGATAATCCTCGACAGGGTGACTTTCCACTGCTGCGAGCTGTTACGATTAATTGTAAAGGACCAGATGTTGGGGGTTTGTATCGGAGAAGGAGATTGTCAATGTGAAAACTTAACTTATTTAAGGTATCTTTATTAAAATTTGATGCATAGCTTTACCTTTCGCTTCTCGTCCAACACTATTATAAGGGCAGTCAATAACTGCACTGTCTTTCGTCTTCTGAACCCCAGTTCTTCGGCATATCCATGACGGTTTTAATCTACGCCTCCACAATCGCATTTGTATAAAAACTATTCGTCTAACTCGCTGCTTGTATGAGGAATTGATGACGATTCCATACCCATTTGCGGCGGCTTCATATTCATATGTTCTTGCACTATCTTCCGCGTGATAAATTGCTTGTATTGCTGCTTCATTTTTATCTTTGCTGTAATTGCTGCGATGAGCCCAGCGAAACATGTATCACACCAGCGAGATGCTAACATCGACCCATGGTAATCATTATTAATTAATATGTGATTGGCTGGGATTATCGTCTGTGGCCCTAGTAGTTTTGTCAATGGCCGTAGTAATAATGTATGTGGCCGTAGTATTAACGTCTGTGGCCTTAGCGGCTCCACAAAACTAATTGGTTTTAACTTGTATTAGCTATATTAAACTACCAATATGTATGTTAACTTGCCCTCCACTCATTACGGGCGTTTAGCGGTCATTGTTCAGCGTATTGGTTTATATAATAGCCTATATCGACCAACTAGAAGACATCTCCAACTTCAAGGAGATGCAAGAACAATATTATAAGCAAAAAAATATTATCGAATATTATTACAGACCTCCCTCCAGAAAGTTATCCTCCAATAAGCTATAATCTCCGGTAGGTTATCAAACTTCGTGTCTACCGAGCTTGTTCTATGGTCGCTAAGTTATAAGTTATAAATTATAATCAGGCAGAGCAATATAACTTTATAGAATGAGTATATTTCTTGTACTTTAGACGAGAAAACCTACTTTAACCACATGTCAAGGGTAGTTTCGGTATGGGTGCGTTGCGAAAAGTCCAATTATAGGTCGCCGAAAAAATCTATAAGCGGCTTGTGGACTGAAATACATCGAGCAGGTAGCAGTTATCACGAAAGAGGTTGGTCTCTTTAATTCTGGTGAACTTGTTTGCGACGGGCGCCACATCTCCCCTAATTTCTCACATTTTTTGTGCCTGGTGAGAGCAGGAACGGTGGGGTAATTAGCGTAGATAAAGATGCATTGAAGAGAAAGGATAGCAGAGATAATCAAGCATAACACCTAATCATGATTACTAAAAAAACTAGCTTTTACCTCTTCCACAAATCTCGTTCTCGCTCAGCTCCGGCTAAGCAATCTTATCCTCTACTATAGGATTGCGAAGCTTCGAAATCGTTATTTAATCCCGAACACGCAGCCGCTTTAGAGGGTCTCTCAGCTCGAACTCCAGCTTTTCGGCATCTTCTACTATCTGGGTAGACAAGACACTATAAAACACTGTAAATTTACAAATAGCTTTTCAAATAGCACAGAAAATACAAGTTTACGACATGTCTCACACCTTTTGGCCAGGTCCAACTTGCAAAGGAGTCCAGACATGGCTGTTAGTATTGCGATTCCAGCAGAGCAGGGTTCCCTATAATTTTACATGCTGCAGTTTCCCATTGCAAACCAAAATGCCGTGTACAAAAGGAGTGAGAGGATGCGTACGTGAGGTCCTCGAAAAGCGTTCAATTAACGTTAGAGTTGTCAAATATATGTGATGATAAACTGAACGTCCATTTAAGTGCTTATGACTATCTTCGATATCAGTATGCATCTATGAAGACTACATCGTTCTCCTCCTCGCTGGCTCATTCTGTTGGCTCGAGACGTGGGCTTCACAGGGAACACCCCACAAAGGGCACGTGTAATCGGTAATTCATTCCAGGGTGGATGCAGGGCGCGAATGTCGCGGCAAGCGCCGGTTACCACTCCGATCATCTCCGATTGACCGCTGACGCATCTGAGTGATCGGACTGCCTCACGATCTTGGCATGTTCGCTTCGTGAGACGGGGATTTGCGCTCGCCAAACGGGTCGGTGACGAGAAGTGGACGTAGAATAGCAGGAATTAGATGAGGGGTTGACGTTCTCGGACGTCGTGCCCCTCATCCCATGGTTCTGGTTGCTCCCCTTGCGGTTTGCACGCTGCACTGCCTCCCGTTAGGCTTCCCCCTATTACCTGGGCCCAACTATCAGAAGACTTTCCATCCAGGGAAAGGGGACCGGTGACTCGGCTCTGTAAAGGTCTTCGTCTCTTGGCCGTTGTTGCTCGAAAGCCCAAATTGGAAGTGTTGTTAAATATATGCACAATGATTACTTCCGTCCTCATGCTCTGACGCATGCGTGCTCAAAAAGACGTACTCCATTGAGATTGCAATTGTAGCGAATCAATGATAGCCTTTTGTATATCGTATGATGTGGCTATAACGAAAAAGGACGTGACACACGAGGTATTGAAAGGCAAACAAGCGCACTCGAATTACAAGGGCCTATCCATGATTCATAGCATTAAATTGTGCAGCCACGGCGTGAAGGACCTCCTACACGTACCTACTGGTGACCGCACACAAACATACACAAAACGTCATTGAGCAGGAGACAATCTACCTAATCATGGCAAATCAAGTCAAAAGATACTTGTATTATTCCTCTATTCGCGCTACCCCGCATTAATGGAAATTGTAGTCAAAAACAAGCTAGTAGTGACCCTTGCCCGTAGTAGTGATCGTCGTAACTGTTAAATTAAGCGGCAGCGACGACAAGTTTCCTAAAGTGAGAGTAGCGCTGTCGAGAGAGAGTAGTCAGGACCGACTCGATCATTGTCATCGAGCTGGCCGCCCAAGTCCAGCTCCGAATACAGAGCATCAATCCAGGCCAATGATGTATCACCATCAATTCTTTCCAGCCCCACCGTGGTTTGCACTGTTACCACAGGGTCGAATTGCTTGAAGAGTTGCAGACCAGGTGTGGGTAAAGCCAACGGAGCTTGTTCTTCATGCTTTCGGACGTTGCTTCGAAAAGTTAAATCCTTTGTTAGCGATAGTGAGTGCTTGCGTCTAATGCGCCACATTAAAGCCGGCTGGTCTCGCTGAAAAAACTGGTTGGAGAAAGTGCACACTACCGCGCGTGACTTGGTCCATTTGCGGAAGTTAAAGTAGTTGAGCTGGCGCTGAAAGCTGGCGTTTTTGCAGTGCTTGAAGTACTTTGGAAGCACGTAGTCACTAATGGCGATTATATCGTAGATTTCGAAGGCTTTGCCGTCGGGTGTCCACCGCACGATATACGGGCTCTCAGTGTCTAGCATGCGGCGAAGACTGCGCAGGAATGGCGCCACCTCTTTTACGGGAGTTACGTCGGCGGATTCTTGAGTCTGAGGATGTGCTTGCATTGTAGTTGCTACGCATGACATGGTTTGCTGTGACGGACTGACTGTGTAGTGAATGGGAGTAAATGTGCGTTGTGCGGCAAAAGTGAAAGTGATACCGCGCCGGTCGGCCAGACAAGAGGGAGCTGACGGAGACTGCCTTGTCTGATTACAACTGTAGCCAAAAAGCATCTGGAAAGCAGCTACAGGTTCATGTTTACAGCCACAAGTGTAGGTAAAAAAGATCGGCCAGCTGGGCCAAACGAGTTAAAACTTTCAACTTGACAGTAAGTAATGCACGAGCCGAATGACTGCACGAAGGACAACCCTCTCCGTAGTAGTGGAGGTTTTTATTACCATCTATTATAGTCTGGCAAATGCTATAATGCATAAAAGTTTCTGTATGTGTTGACCCCAATGCTGGTTGCGCAGCTCATCATGACTCGTAATGCTGGAGAGCACCAGCTGCCTATTTGATGCTCAGGCATATCCTAAATATTTGAATCGTTGCTCGCAGGATATGTTCAGCAGCTTTAGAACTAAATATGCTAGACAAAACGTGACGGGTGCAGTTCCTCACCGACAAGGTTATCCAGGATGAGGCATTGGTCAAAAGTGCTCATGAAGGATGACAACAGTAGTGATGTTGAGAGCAATCAGTCATTACTTGCTATAGCGTTGAGCTCAAAACCCCCGAAGCATTAGAATGGATGATCACGATCGTTTATCCGCTAGCGACCGCAACAAAGTGCACTTTGCGGTGAGCGGATGTCAATATAATGAAATGTACGCCTCGAGAGAAATGAAGCCGCGAAATAGGCCGTAATATTTCAAATGTCGCTCGATTAGATTGTACATACTTAACGACCTCTTAATACTAGTCATCGAATATATCACTACGGAGAAAATTGTTTGCGATGCTGCACGGCTGAGCTCAGACGAAAGTTATTAAATCATGTTCGAGCAAGGGGAGTGTTATTGTCGCTTACATGAGATCGAGTAAACGTGACGGATGTCTGCTCGACACGTAGGCTCGGTCACAAGCGGAATGGTTGCGGCATCATGCCGCGCTAATATTTTGACCGAATACAACCTGCTGACTTCGTGAAGCTAACGATAAGGGTTGTATCAGATCGAGCCCTTTCGGTGCGTTGTTCGTCTGCGCAATGCGCACGAAAGGCCGCACCGGTAACGGAAACGAATCGTCGCTGTGTAATGCTGTCATCTGGAAGCCTTACCATAGTTGACGCTCATTTCTGGGCCACCCGGCGATGCGTAAACATGGGAAAGATATTGTTCAGAGATGTATATGATGCCGTGCTACAAATTAAAATAGTTCAGACTGTCTGTTAGATCCTCATGATTTATTTAGATATGTCTGTTCTGCCATGACTACGTCGTTCTCCTCTGCACTAGCTCATCTGCTGCTCGACCCGATGGGCTTTACCGAAGACACCCCAAAAGGGGATGTAGGACAGTTTGACCAACCTGAGAACATGCTGGGGCTTGGAAAGTGAGAAGGTACCAAATCGGCTTTCCAGACGGGTCAGCCTGACTCCGGCCGGAATCGGAACGGACAGAATAACGTTTTGGGGGAGTTCGCTTCGTGGGACTGGAGTTCGCACTCGGCGAACGGGCCCACCACTCGAAGGCAGAACGGAGAGGATCAAAAAATTGTTAATGCTGAATTTGCTGCTTTGTCGACGTGCCCACACCTCGGGACTTTGTGCCTATAGCTCCCAGTCAGTTTCACACGCTGCACAGCCTTCCGTGGTGCCACAGCCTTCAACCTTGGTCCCATGATAAGGGACCTCTCGCCCAGGTTATGAGCGGTATCCATGTATTGGTAGATCATTGGGATCACGCGTCCCCTTCGTTGGATTACGAAAAAAAGTTAAAGCATCGCAGTTGTATTGTACGAACGTTCTGTCGTTGCAACACGTTTTGTAGAAGACATATGTTGCAGAATTGACGTAACGCACCACAAAAGCGAGCCACGCTTTCGCGCACTTAAACCTGTACAGATTGTTTAGACTTCATCTATTCCTCGTTAGAAATAGTGATTGTCTTTGGTGACGGCAAAGACGACTCGCCTCGCCTACCATTCTCAATCTGGCTCAATTATACCAAAACAAGTAGTTTACGTCTTACTCCATCACTTGCACTAAGGCGTATTGCGCATTGCAAAGGATGCTGACGACCAAACTTACTTGTCAAACGAATTGCTTGGCTCGTTTGACAGTGAAAAGGATGCAGATAATGTTGAAAGGCTGCGATCAAGAAGATAAAAGGCGAAAGCTGCAGCTGCAGCTGCAGCTGCAAGCATAAGTCAGTAATTTTGATACTCCGTCGACCTTAAAGGTTGCATTCGATAGATGGCGGCAGCAAAGTCCATTTAGCTTCAGCTCGTACATACGAATGTATGTACATGTGCGACTTGTGAGTACACTTGTCATTTAGATCTTGCTGCATCCGATGTGCTTTCGACGGATCGAGGCCAAGAAAGGTAATGAGGCGATCTGGATTGATTCAAAACAATGAATCAGGTCTGATCCGAGTTTCAGATTCATAAATTCTAGATCAAATAAAATCAGATGTCAGATAAATATGCTATATATATAACAGAAGGAATTCGCTATGGAGACAATAATACTACGTGTTGGAAAGTGGAACTTCGTATCTAGCTGGGTACTAGATGTACGCCGGTGAAGTCTATTAAAAAGTTCTAGAATAGTCTATTTTAAGGTACTTCTAGAATGATCGATGCATAGGTAAACTGTGTGACAGCGGCAGAGGCCGCTGCACTGAGAAGGATCACTTTGCGATCGTTAAGCCACTGAGGAGGCCCGCAGCGGCGGGCCGAAACGCGTCTGGCACGCGTCCGTAAGTAAAGTCTTTTTGTCATGCGTTCAAAATTTCTAACACTTCGGCCACAGACATTTACTACGGCCACAGACGTTTACTACGACCACAGACGTTTACTACGACCACAGACATTAATTGTAGAAGGGTTTTATTAAGAAAACCACCACGAGCTACGCTGGCACACACCTTCGAGCAGCGTGAGGAAGCGGTTTAATTGTCTTACCTCCGCGTGCGGTGTTAAGGTTGTTGGTCGACGCCGAAGCGCTATACCAACGGTTGCCGGTTGCCTGAGCGATCCGCGCAACGAATGCTAACACAAAAGCTACACTAACGACACGCAGAAGCTTATTCAGCATTTTGTGCGCAGTGAGTGTGATGTAATAAATTTAAGACTAACTTATATATAATAGATTTTAAACTAACTAAAAGATTAACTACTGACTAGAATGATGCAAAGATTGACTACGCGTCTCTTTAGAAGCGTATCCCTACGTGCGAGCTTAAAATATATACTAAGCTCGCTGATGACGTCTGTTTAAAGCGTCACCATGATGCCCATTACCAACTGGGCGTCATCCTCGTTTAATGTGAATCCATCCATGGATATTACATTTAAGAGGGTGGGCCATATTGATGTACCACAGGTCTTAAGTACTCAAGTGTCTTCTTATGACTCCCGTTCTGAGAAAACAGTGTTCAACGGGGACGTGTAGCATATGGTTTTAGCGCGTAACATGTATCTTCTCGCCAGACTTAAGAGCAGTGCAAATTCCTTAACTTTTTAGCGGCATCCGATAATCTGTGGCAGCTGATGTCATTCGTGTCTTTGGTGTATAAGACAACAACTGAGGCTATTCTTACCTCCGCTTGTACCAGCCTAAGCCTAAGCAATTCATTGTTCTACTCGGATTTCGACATGGTTTCGGCTTTTACCCTTGCATTATTGTAGCGAAGCTACACAGATCTTTAGCCAGAAAAAGACTTTAGGCTGAAAGCCTCTTAGTTCTAGAGAACTAAATAGAGTTAAGGCTAAAAGCCACTTAGTTTTAAGGAACTAATTAAACGACTTAAAGTCACCCTGTTCTAAGGAACTAGGAAAGAGACTTTTAGTCAGTCAAGCAATAAGCTGAAGGTTCAGAGAACCAACGCACCGAGTGCAAGAACAAGCTAGAAGCTTAAGGTTCAAAGAACCAACACACGAAGTGCACAAGAGAACAAGTCAGAACGACTTGCGATCTTAAACTCAAAATAAGAACTGATTTTATTTATGCATTAAGATTTTATGAATAGTCTTACTCTAAGTACTCTACACTAGATTAATTACTATAATAGTAATTATAATATGCAGAATTTGCTATTGGACGACGTATTGTCTAAACATCTGTGTATGATGTACTTAGTACAGTGTTATCGATTTATCGAATCCTAGTCGATAGGATACGGTATTACCGAATACCGTATCTTAACGCTCATACATGTACCAATACCTCTCTAAAGAGAAGTATCATTATTCATTATATGCAATACAAAGAGGAGTTCAACCGTAAACTCTCGGAAAGACGCTACAACCGTCGTGTAACCCCGTTACACCCTCCCCCACCAGACTGACGTTCCCATAGAATGTCACTCGACATCTTTACTGTTAGAGGTAGTGCTTTAGCGAACGTTTCAAACCTTACGGTATTTCACGGCACACAACATGACGCATCCTGGCAATGAGTCACAGACTCTACGGGACCTTAGCGAAGGCGACCTTGACGAAGCGATTGATTACGAAAGTAACACCGTCATTGTGGAACCCGATGGGTACCCTTTAACCTACGGGTAACGAAGACACTAGTCATGCACCGAATCCGTTCCCTGAACGTGGTGCTGCAGATGCGCTAACAGCGGTATGTGACCCGCCTGACGTATCGTCAACGGTAACGGTTACCAATCCACTCGACGAGCAGCAACAGCGATCCATCGACCAAGAGGAAGGCGCCAAGCGCCGAACGAAGAACATGACGCGGCTGCAGGACCACCGACTGTACAGGTTCAAGCCACCTACGGTGGAAGAACGTCTAAAGGAAGCATCTGGGCATTCCCTTTCTGGTTGGACCATTGGGCCTGAGGCCATTTCACCTGAGGATGTTGCCACACGCACGGCACTTCGACAA